AATGAATGTGTTCCAAAATCTTTTTTTTTCAAATGCATAAAAAACATTTTCTATGGGGATATCTAGAGGGGGGGGGGGTCGGCACCCTAGAGACAAATCTCAACTTTTCAAAGGATTAATCATGAGCTTTTCACTACGCGTACTTAATTTAACATTTGAAAAAATAAAAATACCAAGAATTGTTTGTTAAAAGTTATCTGTAACTTGAGCTGTAATCTAGCTGCATCAGAGGTGGCAATTAAAAATAATTTTCAAATAAACGAAACTTGAAATTAAAAAAAATTGAGTTTTCCTTTCGTAGTTTTTTTACTTCAACATATAAAATTATAAGAAAAACTTGGTAATTCATAAATTAAAAACATAGTTTTTAACTCTAAACTGCGTTCACTAAACCCAGTTTCGTCAATGTGGAATATTTAAAGTTTCTGCCTCCGTCTCCAGGGTATGAAAGTAGATAAATATGTTTTCTCACCAAATTAAAAATGTCCGCCTTTCAACATTTTTAAGATCTGTGTTATAATTTACTTTTAAGTTTATCTTATCATATAATATAATATAATTACCCTTGATTTGATTTGACCTCGCCAAAACACCTTTTTTTTGTGGCCCTGGATAAGAAAAGTGCTAATTTCCAGCTCAAGTTGCAAAACCAAAAATGTAAACATTGCAATATTAAATGCAATATTTTCGACAAAAAAAATTTTAAATCATCCATTTTTAAATTAAGTATATAAAAAATGTTATTGAAAAGATGATTCTTAATTTGGTGCAATTATAAATACTACGCACACAGAAATACAAGTATTATATTGATTTAGTAAATGCCTTACTAAAATGAGTTTCTCAGGTCAGTATCAATCCAGGTAAAACCTTCTGTATTCTCAAGTATCCATCATACTTGTACTAGGCAAAATGTTACAGTAACATTTTGCCTAGTACAAGTTCGCCTAGTACACTTTTGATAAATTCACTAAAATTTATAAAGTTCCTCTTTTTTATCAAGAAATTCAATTAAAAGCAAAAAAAATGTATTATAATAATGTTTACAAATTTTTTCCAGGTCCATTGGAGACATATGAGAAATGTTGATTATCAATTATGGCTGGTCTACCTCGTTTGGTTTTCCCTGCCTGAATTAAGGACGTCATGTCGACATCAATGTCAGTAGAAAACTGAATGATTTAAACTACAAAAAAAAAATTGTGAAATTTTTACAGTAAAAATTGCGTATTTTTTGTTCCAAAAGCTGGTTAATTTGAAGAATGTTAATCTAGGCGAAAATTACTCTCTAATGTTATCTAGGCAAAATGTTATCTAGGCAAAATGTTATCTAGGCAAAATGTTATCTAGGCGAAATGTTGTCTAGGCAAAATGTTATCTAGGCGAACTTGAACTAGGCGAAAGTGTACTAGGCAAAAGTGTACTAGGCGAACTTGTACTAGGCAAAATGTTACTGAGCCTACAGATACAACTTGTTCTCGAACTCACTTGTCCAATCAGTCTGTATCAGTCCAGATATAACGCTGTTGTATTCTTTAGTATGTATCCCTCAGATACAACTAGCTCTCTGTTATACTCAGTCTGTATCTTTCAAGATACAACTAACTCTAGTGGTCCACAATAATAACTCAGTCTGTATCGCAGAGGTACAGACTGATCTAGAACTCTCTCGTTCTCTCAATATACTCAGTTAGTATCAATCTGGATACAACTTCAGAATGTATTGCCTAAGTAAAAACTGCCGTAGAACTGCTTAGAATACAATAATACCTTAGTATCTATCAATATGGAATCCATATGGATACAACACGCTCTGTATTTTACTAACCTATATCTATTAACCAAGAAACGACTCAGATCAGTCTCTTTCGCTACACAAGGATGGATTACTCTAATACCATAATCAAACAGATTCTTATTCCAACTAATGTAAATTTTGGTATTTATGAGACAGGTTAAATTAATTAATGTAATTAAGCTAAATTGTAATACAGGTTTTGAGTAGTTGTTAACAATGGTAGTTAGGTTACAGATAATGTACACCGTAATATATCTAGGTGTAGTTCAGGTTTATAAATATGGGGTTTACTACAATATTTATCACATACATAATTTTACAACAATGGGAGTGCTTCCAATATATTCCAGAATAGTTTCAGCCTAATAACAAAGGTGGATTATTGTTAAAATAAGTTTGAATGAAACGTCGGAATTTTCTTATAAAAAACTGGTCCAATTTCTGAGATACCGCCTTCCACCAATGCTCCCCTTTTCAAGTCATCCAATACCCCTTATATGTCTTCCAATACCCCGTTTAAGTCTTCCTACACTTCAAGTACTTCTTACCACCCCCCCCCCATTTTAAAACTTAAAAACACCTGTTTCATACTCTTTTCTACCCCCTTACAAGCACTTTCTTACCCTTTTTCAAGTGCTTTTATACCTGCTTTCAAGTAATACCTTTTAAACACTTTTATTAAGCAATTAATAAACCTCTTTCAAGCATTTTAAGCCAAACCCCTATTACCCCCACCCCCATATTTCATAGACTTTTATGCTGAACTTTAAAGCACTCTTCTGTCCCCTCTGTTAACCCCTTCTACACTTTGATCTCGAATTTTCTTAATCTGCAGATTAATTTAATATTAATTCTATATTCTGATTGTAATTGTATCCGGAAAGGTTAGCTGAAATGAAGAGATTAAGCACGGCGCTTTAAATCAAAAGTGCCCACAACAGAAATCGATATCAAGCGATCAGGAGTATAAGTATCTAACACAAGTTTCCAACTCTTATACCCTTTACACCCCCCCCCCCCCCCCCCCCCCCCCTCCATCTATATAAGGAACTATCTGAACCCAAATCAATGTACTGGAACAGAAAGGTACGGGGAGTGACATTTAGACGATTATCTATTATATTGTTGTGTTATAACTTTTATGAAAGTCCCGCAATCTCATGCTCATAGATAATAAAGATAGAACACTAGATGTTGTCTTTTCAAGATTTAAGGATGTTTTGTTCACTAACCCCAAGGCAGAGGCTCAAAGGAGTTGCCCGCATGCCGCGTTGAATGCCAAGACAGAGAGAGAGCATGCGCGCAACTTCTTTGGGCTTCTGCCTTAGGGTTATTGTGAACGAAAAACCCATAAATCTTTAAAAGACATCATCTAGTGTTCTATCTGTATTATTATTAATCTATGCTCATGCTATGCTTTAAATACAGGGTTATCCAGAACTTTACAGACAATTGTGAAGAACTTATTCAGGCTTCTTCTTAAATTCATTGTTCCCTGGAGCTGTAAACTTGTTTCTTCCTTGACCATCTCATTTAATACACCATTAATAGATAATATTAAAACAGAAAACATATAATTTAAATTTCAGATCGTCAATAAAAGCTCATCCTTTAAAAGTAATCCTGTTACTCTGTGATTTCTGCAGAACAAATCGATTTGACCAAGTTATCAAATATAATGTTGATTTTGATAATGAAATTAAGTCATAGACACAAACTCAAATGTTCTAATACCTATATCTTTTCAATCTGATGGTGGAAACCGTTGATAATTAAAACATAACTATTAGAATTCATGATTTTGTGGAAATTAGACCCAATTCCTTTGATAATCTCGATATGTACATGAAGCATGCTTAATATGCTTCTTATTTTCATCTTACACGGTTACACCCTAACAAAACATTTATAAACAAACCGGATAAAATGCTCCTTTCTATTCAGCTTTAGATTCACACCTGTATGCCGAGTCCAATAGTGCCTGATCCAATCAGGGTTCAGCCATGTGTTTGGTCTCTATTCTGAACAAATAGCAATAGTATGGCGGAAATATCTATCATTCTATCTATCTCATCATCCAATTAGAGTTATAAATAATTTTTATCACTTGATATGAAACAGCTTTTTTTAGAAGTAAAAATAGAATAGAATTAATGACTATAGCTTGGGAACCTAGAATTGCCCAGGTTACTCATAGTTACTCCCGCCGTTTACCCGCACTTGGTCAATTTTACCGGGAAACTAAATTTTCGAAATTCCCGTGGCTCGAACCTGAGTTGCCCAATAAAAATATGAGGCAGGTCGGTCCAGGAATTCCTGATTTTTGATCAGACTAACAAACAAACAGACACCCAGACAGACAGAGATCACAACTTTATATATAGATAATAATGAAAATGACAATGATAATAATAATGATAATATTACATTTTTTCCTATTTTTTTCAGTTGTCAAAATTTGAACGTAAAAAATCTAACCTTTCCTACTTTCTTAGACAAAGTATTGTACATGCCTGTTTTGTTTAAGTGTACATGTGAGTACAATTAAACAATAATTTTTAAATAAAAAAACAAGGAAGTTTTCATTATATAACTATGTCAGGGCGGTTCTCCATACACACTTCATAATAGACGCTCTAAATGTCAAATTAAAACAATGTATTCCTGCAATTTTATACGCAATTAAACATTGTAAACAACAGAGGAAATACACTTTTAAACATTAAAAAGTTGTTTTAAGAATATGTAAGTTATGTAAGAATATGTTAAGTTAGTATTTGACTTAATCTTGTTTTCACAATGTCACTCCAGCTATGGACAGAAGGTGAATCTATGCCGGTACAACTTTGCGACCTCTTGTTCTATTGATTTTTTATTTTCTCAATAGCTATTCAATTAAAGGAGTTATAATATAAACATATACTGCAAACTGAAATATGAACGCTCTCACGAAAAATCGAGGAGTATATTTTCAATTATTCCTTTCAACCTTTAGCTAGAATCAAGCTTGTTACACTATATATTTTAGGCCTTTACAGATGTATAAGTGAGTTACTGAGATCAAAAAAGGTAATGCGACACTTTAAAGTCGAGGCTGTTTAAAAATTTGATGAATAACTTTTAGAGATGTCTAGATTTCAGAAGATTTCAGATTTCAGAGATATATAGATTAGCTGTAGATCTAGATTTGATTTAAATTAACCTTGATTACAGTTCCAGCTGGCGAATACAGAGGTCAACACACTTCCTCAACGAGGAAATCAGAAAATCCGCAAAATCACTTTTCCGCAGTGTACACTTTGGGAACTGCTCCAAACCACTTTGCAACAGTTGTACACTTTACAGAAGTTTACTTCTTTAACTTCTGCTGATGATTTTTTTCACTTTATAAACAGAGCGTAATGTTAGCAGTTTTTTTATGCTAAAATAACTTCTACAAAATATGTATATCGTTTAATAACATGCATATTGATTAATAAGAATAAATTTCACTTTTATATTTATATATCTCTCTCTATTGATAATAAACTTTCACTGCACTGTTGTGTGTATACAGGACAGGGTACTGTAGGCCACTGCCTTGGTTACATACCTGGACTAACAGTTAGGGACCCTGCAAACCATATACCTCACAGACAGTTAGGGACAATATATATCAGCTACAGTTAGGGACCATACTGTCATGCACCCCTGCACACACGCATAAACCGAAGACACAATTAAAATGCATTATTCACGAATTTTGATATCTGTTGTTCTTAACTTGAAATTGATATGCTAAGAATAAAAACTGATAATATTTTAAATTAAATTGAAAACTTGGTTTTTAATCAAGTATTAATTATTATTCATAAAATGTTGGAATTATTCAATTTTTGACACTCCCACTTTTACGTCATAAAATCTCCATTTTCACGCTCAATTCTACAATTCTTTAGCAACTTTCTCTGTGAGTTTTATCTTTTTTCTTTTTACCTCTTTTTGAAATATGTTTTAATTATTTTGTTTCTATTGGATACTTTATATTTGACATTTTATTTTTGAAAAAAAAACATACTTTCTTAATCCATTAAATTTAGATGAGGCCCATTTCATAAAAAAATGTCCCTAACAATTTACCATGTCACAAGAAACCAATGGCAATACCATTGGTTTGACGATTGGCATTTTCTCGAACTTTCTGGGTGGATAAACATTATTTAAACTATTTTGAACATTGTTTGTTTGATTTCCCCTTCTTCATGTTGCATGAGCTCATAGAGTTTCCATTCAAAGTTTCCCCAGCATTAGATATTCCCTATTCCCCCCCTTTCCTTCTTTTTCTTCAAGGTCCTAGTTAACCCTCTTAATTCCTTTTTCTCATAAAATAATTACAGAGAAACATATTAAAACGTTTTAAAGCCAATAAGAGCATCTA